CGGCTGCCAGTCCGTCCGAGGGGGGCCTAGTTGTTGCCTTCACCGCCGTCGTCGTCCTGCTGGTCGCTTGTCCAGAGCGTTAGGTTATCGCGCAGCAGCTGCATGATGAGGGTTGAGTCTTTGTAGGAGTCCTCGTTGAGGGTGTCCAGCTCGGCAATGGCGTCGTCGAACGCCGTCTTGGCCAGGTGGCACGCTTGCTCGGGGGCGTTCTGGATCTCGTAGTAGAAAACAGAGTAGTTAAGCGCCAGGCCCAGCCGGATGGGGTGAGTCGGCTGCATGTGTTCCTTGCTGATCTCGTGAGCTTCGCTGTAGGCCTTCTCAGAGGATTCTACCACCGTTGCCCTCTTCTCCCCGGTGGCCACCTCGGCCAGGTAGCGGTAATAGTCCCCTTTCATCTTCAGGTAGAAGACCTTGCTCTCGTACTGGGTCTCGCTGCAGTTCTTGATCAGGTAGTTGTCCAGGAGGCTGAGAACGTCCTGGCAGACGGCTTCCAGCTCCTTCTCAATCTTCTCGCGGTAAGCCCGCACCATCTCGATCTTCTTCTCATTGCCGTCAGCAGAGGTCTTCTGCTCGATGCTGCTGATCACCCGCCAAGAGGAGCGCCGGGCCCCCACCACGTTCTTGTAGGCCACCGACAAGAGGTTCCGCTCTTCATTGGACAGCGGCTCGTTGAGCTCCGTCACCTGATGAGAGAAGGGGAGACACAGGACACCCGGTTAGCCTTGGCTGATCATTTCCAAACTCTACACCCCTGGGCAAAGAACATCTCATTGAGAGCTCCTCATAGCTGATATCACAGATTTTAAGATGATACTAGATCAGTTTCACAGCATTAACAGAACCCCCGTCAGAACAGTACAGAAGGAAAGGCGGTAAGGAGGAAAGAAACCAGAAAGGCTTTAAGCTGTCTAAGGAACAGCTGGCTAGAGAGCTCAATGGTTTAGGCCTCTGGTTGTGGAGCCAGAGATTGGTAATCTGATTCCCCACTGTGCCTCCTGTGAATACAGCCAGCCTTGTGTAACCTTGGGTAAGCTGCAGGAACCCTCCAGAAGAATGGGAATAGGAAACCACTTCTGAATATTCTCTACCTGGAAAATCCTGAAAAGGGCCACCACCAGTCAGAACTGAATTCACAGCACATGAGCACTAAGGAACAATTTCTTCAACACCCAATATATGAGGAGCAGTTCAAAGACTATATATATTTTTTATTTCCTCCAAATGATGACATGCTATATTGCACGCTAAGATATTGCCTGTTTCTTGGGAGGGAGACATACTATTCTCCTCTATAAACCTTCCTTTCAAAAAACCAAACTTTGATTTCATTGGTTCAGGAAGAAAATTAAGCCCCATCAGGTACCGGCAGGAATAATGACCTGTCAAGCCCAAAACCTGTGGGCCTGAATTTTGCTGGCTTCAAAATGGAATAAGGTGGGGCTCTGGGTGGCTTACAAACAAAATCATCAATATAAAATAAAATCCAGTAATAAGCATAAGTTAAAACAGAAACAAAAAGAAAATAACCCCCCCTAATAACAAGCCTAATGATATTTAAAGAACAAGACTAACACAAAATATGACGGCCACACCAATGTCAATTAACCCATAAACAACGGGCTGTTGGTAATTAAAGATAGTAAATTTAGGAAGGGTAACAATGTAGTTAAAAAACATGGGTTAAAAAACTGCACCTTTGCTTGTTTGCTAAAGCCAAGGAGGGTAGGGGGCCTGACACATCTCCACCGAGAAGGCCCAGCTTGTAATTGTAGATTTCTGGGCCTCCCTTGGGGTAGCCACCTGTATGTAGCCATTTTGGACTGGATGACCCAGATGGGGCAAGGAGATTGATGTGAGGGAGAGGCATTCATACTCCTTCACAGTTAATCATGTTACTTGTAAGAACAGCAACAACCAGGTTATAACAAGTCTGAGATTTAAAAATAAAAATAAAAAACACCTAGTCCCTGGAAATCCCCAGACCTTCAGATACTACACTAGATTAAGGACACTGTTGTTCTGTATTGTAACTCCCATTATGCCCCACCACCACCACCAGGCATACAGCTGGACCTTACAGGAGTTGAAGATATGTCAGTCTAGGGAGGGCCCTGAAAGTCAAAAATGTTCTACAACCAATAACTGGTGACGGATCACAAATCCTGCAGGCTTAAGATCTGGTTTAGGAGGTGTTCCAAAATAAGTGCTTTACAGCAAGGCAGTGGTCCCAAAAGAAGGCGTGCTTCGCGCTGGCAAATCCCGTTCTCTCCAGGAAGACACATAAAGCCTGTATGTGGTCCTTGAAGACATCTGCCTAACCACAGCACTCAAGCACTCTGTAGGCCACATGGCAGCCACCTTCCAGCACCCTAAGCAACTGTGGACAGCTAATGCAGGAAGCCCTCCTGTGTACAGAGAGGGCCTGCCACTCTTAATTTAAGGCTGCACATACTTTCCCTCACATCGCTAAGTGGAGGGAGAGATCCCCAGAGGCAGCGTTGTGCCCACCTCTGGCGACAGCACAAAGACTGGATCTAAGCAATGACAAAGAACACTGGTATCACATACAAGGATGTCCCTCCCTCCGTAATTCTGCACACAGCATTTCGCTATTTCTTGCCATGAAGCCATTAAAAACCTTTTGGTCATATTTCTGCAGCCCAGGATGTGGAAAACTATTCAGAGCTTCTTGAGTCGATTTTAATTCACCTCCGACAGGCTTCGAGTGGACAAATACCCCCTCGGCACTTTGCTCCAGAGGTGCCCGTCATGCCATTTGTGAGGCTCAGAAGGTGGGCATTTTGGCATGAAGACATTCATCCCCCTTCATCTCCTGATGGGACCACAGCTGAGGAGCAAGACTCAGGCGCCGTCGCCGCTTGTGGCTTCCACACAGAATAGCGCTAGAAGGGACTGGTCTGTGTACAATTTGAAACACGCTTCTGGTCTATGAATTGATTCAGGACTCTGTGGATCATCTTCCACCTTCAAGCAACCATCCTCATCCACAGAACCATGAGGGCCTGAGGTGTGGCAGGATTGTGGTATCAGCAGTTGTAGCAGCAAGCACACTGAAAGCCCTGCACCACAATAGCCTTCATTTGGGGACTTCAAAAGGCAACTCTTGTGAAACAAAACGCTCCCACGTTTCGCCTAAACGATCTGGCTGGGCTGCTCTTTTAAGGGCAGACGAGCGGCTGCTGGGAGCGCGGGTACTCTGTATACAACTAACTGGAGTCCTGGCAACCTCCCGGGTTGTAAATAGCTCCCTACGCAGACTGGATAAAATGTTCAGCCTCCTGACCCACCACAGCTGTTCAGGTGCCACAGACAAACTGGCAGGTGGGCAACGTCTTGGCCCAACTAATTTATAGGGCAGCATTTTTGACAACAGCTGGTTCCAGCAGCAGAATGTGCCACTTTGCTCATCCAAAGAGGTTCTGAAATATTTCACTTTTTGATATTCCACTTTGCTTAGGCTTCCCAATGTTCCACACCAGCCCGCGTGAAGCGACAGGGGCCAGATCTTCCAATTGGCTACCTCGCACAAAGGTTTTCAGGATGTGGCCAGAGACAGGTCCTTTTGACTGCACACTTTCAGTTGAGTTCATCTTGCAGAAAGGTATCCGTTTGATTACCCTCTGCACAACTCAAGCAGAAGTATCCTGCTCTAGAAATCGGACTAAACTCTTCAAGTGGACTGCACAACCCTGTGGTCTTTATTCTCACCTTACCGAAAATGATCAGCATGGAACTGGAGAGGAACTCCATTATCCTAAGCTGAAACCAGCCAACTAAACAGAAGCAGGGCCTATGCAGTCCCTCGTATTCATTTTACACCAGTAGTTACACCTCCACGGTACTATATGGATACCAGCACAGCATGAATGCAAAGACAGATGGGAGCATGCTTGTTCACAGCTGACCTTGAAAGCCGGCCAAAATATTTGTGGCTGCCACCACGTCTCCCCTTTGTGCCATGACATCATGCAGAGCTTAAAGCCTCCCTTGTGTGCGATCTGCTCTCTTTCCCCTCCCCGACAAGGCAGGCAGGCACGTGATCCGGGAAGCAACGAGAGCTAGGCCCCACTGCCAACCGCACTGCAGGCTCAGCACAAGGCCAGGCTAATCCTAGGCGATCCCCCATCAGCCAAAAGTGCGCTCTTCTGCAGCAAGTGCACGGACTCACGGCTGTACTTAGATCTTCTTCATCATCACCATCGAACTGCACAGCTGGAAGGGACCAAATGGATCATGTAGTCCAGTCTATCAGGGAGGAAGAGTGGGGGGAACTGGACATCCAACCTCTGACTCCAGAGACCTAAACCACTGGACTGTCCATCCATTTGTAATAATCTTAGAACTGCAGGGCTGGGAGGGATCCTATGGGATCATCCAGTCCAGCCCGTCAGGGAGGCACAAGGGGAACTGAACTCCCAACATCTAGTCCTGCAATCAAACCATTGAGTGATCCTGCAGTCTACCCTAGAAACTCTGCACACTACCTAGCTGCCTGGAATAATAAGCTGTCATGATGAATAGGGGCTTTTCAAGTGTGATGCTCCAATTCCGGAGCTGACTTTCATGCTAGCTACCTTGAAGGGAGGATGCACATCCCTAATGAGAAAGCATTTGTGTTTGGGGGAGAAGGCAATCAGCCTGGCGCCATTGTACTCTTAGCCTTTTGCTGTCACTCTCTCACTCTGCAACGGCTACTCCACTCTCTGCCTAGCTAAAGTAATGTCACTAGAGATTATAATCCTCATCACTAAAGATCTTCCTGAACAACGTGTCGCTCAAAACTTTGCTTGTAGGCACCCAGAAAGAATCCAGGCTGCTTCTGTGTTCTAAGAGAAGGCTCATGGGGGCAAAAAATACCAGCAGCAAGCCTTCTGATCTGTAGGCTGCTCCAGCAAAATGTTATTCAAGACAGAGACTGCTTGGTTTCAGGGTATCACTTTCAATCTGTTACCATCAACTAGCCAATTTTGATTACAGGTGCCTTTTCATTCCCTGTAACATTAAACCCTAATTGTGAAGTTCTCGCTTGACATAAATCATCCTAGAAATCACAGGGAACACTCAGTTCAGTGACTAGCATTTCTACTGGCTGTTGGAGAGAAGGCAGAAGCAGCTTAGACACAATCGTTTCTAGTTTTGCAGCTGAAATTCCAATTCCACACTAACAACACTGGGCGGACTTCATGCCAATGCAAACAGCTAAAAAATGAGAAAGGATGTACAACTCCTAAACAAAACAGAGGGATCATCAGTCTCTTTCACACTGAACTTTGAACTATGGTTTAGAATTACGTAAGTGAACCTTTTGCTCTCCCATGGCCCATGAGATCACAAGCTCCAGCATTCGTGAACGGCTCACCACAGTCTATTGTTGCGTCCTGACTGAAACCACGGTTAGTCTTAACTACTAGGTAGAGGAAAGAACTCCACCTGAAAGTAATTTATAAAGTGGATTCTCCTAAAATATTAGGACTCAACCTTCCCACCTTAAGTCTAAGCAGTTTGGGGTTTGGATATAATATCAAAATCAAGTATGAAAGCTTCTGATTTGAAAGAGTTCAGTAAATTCATTTGTGAATTCAACACTTTTCTATACAGCACTAACATGACAAGTTAGGATTAGATCAAAAACAAATCCATATAATGCTGGAGGTAAATGATT